CAACCCTAAGGTTGCAGGCCCCCGCCAGCGACCCGGGGCCCGGGCTTCCATGCCCGGCCGGGGCTGGTGGCCAGGGGGGCCCTGTGTGGCCTGGTCTGCCCCTGGGAGTCGGTGGGGAAAAGCGGGACTTGGTCTCCAGCGGGCTGTGGGCAAGCTTGGCCAACTTTTTGGCCCACTTTTCACCAGCCGACTTGCTCTTCTTTTTCCTTACTCTTTTTTTCCCCTCGTCCTGATTTCCTCGCCGACTTGTTTTTTACCTTGTATTATGTGTATTTTCGTAAGCCACCTCAACCCCTCTCTGGAAGGAAGCAGATATAAATAAATTTCTAGGCAAATATAGTAGTTTATTCTTCTCCAGGATTATCCACACCCTTGAAATCCAAATAACTCTACCACTGACCCCCACCGCCATGCTTTCTGGATTGCAAATGCCCCAAAATTACTTTCTCTCTTCTTTCAATAAGTATTTACTAAGCAGAAGGATGAGTGGTAGGGATTTTAAAAATAAGAGAGTCCTTGCCCCAGCGAATTTCATGTCTAGAGGAATCAGAACCAGGGACACCCCAGAGTAACAATCCCCTAGAGGCCAGGAGGCAGAAAGCCTGGGTGCAGTATTTACTGAGGGCCTACTGTGTACAAGAACCAGTCCGTGCTCTTGGGGTACAATCGGTGAGCAACGTGAAGTTCTCTATGCTCTTAAAACTTAGACTGGGGGGTCAGGTGCTGAAAGAGAGACTCAGTGGGTGCTACAGGAGGAGAGGGGGGAGCCGGGGACAGTCAAGGAAGCCTCCTGGAAGAGGTGGGCTTGAGCAGGCCTGATGGGATTTGGTTAGGTGGGGGCCATGGGGAGCAGGCAGGGAGAGGAAGCTGTTCTAGGCCAGGGCCATCCGCCTGGTTGGTCAAGGCCTGAGGGGCCCAGGGAATTGGTCATATCAGAACCAGTCTTTGCCACAGGAAACATTTTCTTACGTCAGAGTGGAATTACACAGCTTCCATAAGGCCAGCCCAGTGAGCTCAGTGAGCCCCACAGACATACTCAGAAAGCGGGGAGTTCAGCTCAGCTTCATATTTCAGGACAGCTGGGCTGTTGAAATCCTTCCTGATGTATGTTAGTTCTTTCCCTGCCCTGTTAAGGAGTAGCAGGAGCCTGACAATCTCCCAGTCGTGGCTTGAAATGCGGAAGTTGTGGTAGGTTAGGGTGTCCCTTAGCATTCCCTGGGGATTCATGTCTGACATCTCTCCGGTTATATATTTATCAGCTCTGGCTTTTGCGGCAACGGCAGCTCTTGGAAGAGTAGAGGTTAATAGAGGTCCCAAAAGGCATGGGAGTAAGGTGTGACGGTACTCTGAATCGGCCTAACCTGTAAGGAAGTGGGGTGAAGAGGCATAGAAATGGTCTAACCTATTGCCCAAACCAGGATACTTTTTAAAGCAAACCTTTTACTGATGAAAATGTACAGACAGAAAATGCACAAATCCTGTGTTCAGCTCAACACATGTCCATAGAGTGAACCCAGCACCTAGATCAAGCAGATTTTATGTGCGTTGTGTGGATGGAATACGTTACATACTCTCCTGTGTTCGTTTCTTTTGTTCAACATTATGTTGTGATTCGTCCATGTTACTGCACGTGGCTGCGGGATGTTCATTCTCTTTGATGCCTAGTGTAAGTGTCCCACATTGTTATATCCACTCTGTTGAAGGGCATTTGGATAGTTTCTGGTTTGAGACTGTTACAAATAGTGCAGCCACAAATGTTCTGGAATATGTCTTGGTGACTAGATGTACACATTTCTGTTGGGTACACACCTAGGAGAGGAATTCCTGGATCATCTATACTAATAAAAGGGTAATATGCTAATTAGACCAGATAGACTGGATGTCCTTCCAGACAAAGCCACAGTGGCGGGGGCCAAGGCAAAGGCAGTTAGGGGCTATCAGGCCGGCAGGGGAGAGCAGTTAGGAGCCAGTGGTCCCGGATTGGAGAGGGTGCAGGCTGGGCTGAGGGAACACCTTCCCCCTCTCCCTCCCTGCACAAATTTCATGCACTGGGCCTCTAATAGGATATGTATCCCCAACTATTACAGACAAGCAGGGCACTTAAGAGTAAAAGGGAGCCCAGCTGGTGTGGCTCAGTTGTTGAGTGTCAACTTATGAACCAGTTCGATTCCTGGTCAGGGCACATCCCAGTAGGGGGTGTGCAGGAGGCAGCCGATCAATGATTCTCTCTCATCATTTATGTTTCTATCTCTCCCTCTCCCTTCTTCTCTGAAATCAATAAAAACAACAGCAATAAAAAGAGTAAAAGGGGTTAGTAGCAGTTATGACAGACAATGAGCATGAACCTGAACTGGCCCATTATAACTGGGATTGACCCAGGACCTATCAACCAAGATTGACCCAAGCAAGCCAGCTATAGAGTCACCCTGGCGCACAGTGCTGACCACTCTCCTGGGGAGTCACCCAGCTCCTAGTACAGCTAGTCATCTGGCAGGATCAGGCCACTGGGCCCTGCTGACCACAGGCTCTGCTGCCAGGAAACCTGGCAGGCCTAGAGTGGGAGGAGGGCCTCTTCTGCTTCCAACTTTCGAGGGAAAAATTCTCCAATAAATAGGAAGGCCCGGGAGACAGGAACCACCCTGCCTCCTGCCCTGAGCCAGCTACCCACCTTGCATGACCCAGGACACATCAGTTTTATCAACCTTCTGCAGAGCTAGAACCCAGGAAAGCCCAGTTCCTCTTCAACGTCAGAAAAGAAAACAGAGGTAAAGGGAGAGTTGATGAGCACCTACTAAATGCAGACCCTCAGTGCCCCTACCAGCTCAGCAATGCTATTGCCCCCATTTTACTCCCTGAGCCTCCGGGAGTTTGGCTTGGGATTCTGCCTCTTTCCCCTCCACTGCTTCTTCTGGGCTGGGTGAGCTTGTTGCCTTCTTCCAGCCTGGCGGATGGGTCCCTCCAGGCACTGCGATAGGCACTTGAATTAAGTCCTCTAGGGACTTACTTTGGATGGGGCAGGGAGACAAGTGCATAGCAATTTCCCCAGTGTGGAACCTGCTATGATGGGGGTCTGGGGAGCATAGGGCAGGGGCGAGGGCTGTGGGTGGAGCATGCAGGGGTGGGGGTGGGGGGTCGCAGGGCATCTGGCTTGTTGATGGGCTTAAGGCTGTAACAAACATGGTGGGTTGGCATTCAGCACCACTCCCCATCCTCCTTTGAAGCTGCAGGAGTGGCTGTGAATTAGGTCCCCCTAAAGAGTGAAATCTGCCCTAGCTGGTTTGGTTCAGTGGATAGAGCGTCAGCCTGTGGACTGAGGGGTCCCGAGTTTGATTCTGATCATGCAATACCCAGGTTGCGGTCTCGATCCCCAGTGTGGGGGGTGCAGGAGGCAGCCGATCAATGATTCTCTTTCCCCATTGATGTTTCTATATCTTTCCCTCTGGCTCTGAAATCAATAAAAAAAAATTTTTTTTTTAAAAGGAGCAAAATTTGTTGGTCACCAGCTTTGTAAAGGTTAAGAGGCAGGAATGGCCCTGGCCTGTGTGGGTCAGTGGTTAGAGCGTTGGCTAGAGCACTGAAGGGTGACAGGCCCATTTGGGTTGCAAGTTTGATCCCCATCCCAGGACCCGGTGGGGGCCCATGCGGGAGGCAAACATTCGATGTGTCTCTCTCACTTAGATATGTCTCTCTCTCCCTTCCTCTCTCTAAAATCAATAGAAACACACCCTTGGATGAGGACAAGAAGGAAATTGCACATCTCCCCCTGCAAGCTCAACCACTTTACCATGCTTTTTTCTGCCCTGTAACACTTGTCGATTTCTAATATACTGTGTAATTAACTTTTCTACTCAACTATTATCAAAAAAAGCAGTATCTGCTCTGGCCGGTGTGGCTCAGTTGGTTAGCGTTGTCCCATGCACCCAGAAATTGCAACTGGTTCTCTTCCTGGTCAGGGCACATGACTGGGTTGTGGGCTTGATCCCTGGTGGGGCACAAGCAGGGGGCAGCTGATCGATGTGCTTTCACATCAATGTTTCTCTCCTTCTCTCTCTAAAACAATCAAACTATTTTTAATATATAATTTTATTGATTTCAGAGAGGGAGGGAGAGAGAGAGAGAAATATCAATGATGAGAATCATTAATTGGCTACCTCCTGCACGCCCCCTACTGGGTATCAAGCCCGCAGCCCTAGGCATGTGCTCTTGACTGGAATCGAACTGGGATCCTTCAGCCCACAGACCAACACTCTATCCCAGGGGTGGGCAAACTTTTTGACTCGAGGGCCACAATGGGTTGCCCACAGCTGCTCTATCCACTGAGCCAAACCGGCCAGAGGCCAATAAACTATTTTTTTTTAAAGTGATAGGGTCTTGGCAAATTTGGCTCAATGGATAGAGTGTTGGCCCTTGGACTGAAGAGTCCCGGGTTTGATTCCGGTCAAGGGCACCTACCTAGGTTGCAGGCTCCATCCTTGGCCCTGGTTGGGGCACGTGTAGGAGGCAACCATTCCATGTGTCTCTCTCATATAGAAGTTTCTGTCTCTCCCCCTCCCTTCTACTCTCTCTAAAAATCAATGGAAAAATATCCTCTGGTGAGGATTAACAATAAATAAATAAAATTTTAAAAGTTTTACTTGAAGCAATAATAATAATAATAAAGTGGTATGTATTGTGTTTGCTGTCTGGTTCTCCTCACTGACAAGTCAGCTTCATCAGGGTCAGGTTATGCTGTGCTCACTGGGGTATCCCTAGGGCCTACCACAGTGTTTGAGCTAAAAAAAATGTTATTGAATAAAGAATGATTAGGCCCTGGCCGGGTATCTCAGTTGGTAGGAGCATCGTCCCAACTGAGGTGGTGGATTCGATTCTATCAGGGAACATACCCAGAGTTGGATCTCTTGTTGGAGCAAGTATAGGAGGCAACTGATTGATGTTTCTCTCTCACATGGATCTCTCTTTAAAAAAAAAAAATGTTTTCATTGATTTCATAGAGAGGGAGAGAGAAAAACATCAATGATGAGAGAGAATCATTGATCTGTTGTCTCCTGGGGATCCAGCTCCCAACATGACTGGGAATGGAACCTTGACCTCCTGGTACGGTCAATGCTCAACCACTGGAAGGTCCGGGCTTCTCTCTCTCTCTCTCTCTCTCTCTCTCTCTCTCTCTCTCTGTGTGTGTGTCTGTTTCTCTAAAATAAAAACAAAAATGACAATTAGCCAAAGTGATTTCTGTTGTCAGCAAAGTCCTCACCACAGGGAGTTGTGCTGGGGATCTGAACTTGAAGGGAGAGAAAGAAAGGCCAGGAGCCTAGCAGGTCACCATAGGAGTGACAGAGTGACCGGCCTGAGTGCAACAGGAATTGCACCTGACAGAGACACCTGTGTTTGCATCACTAGATTAAAAACCGCGGGGCCATCATCGTCACGTGATCCCTGCACACTCATTTCTAGTGGATATTATCTTTAGATTTAAAAATACATATTGGTTGATTTTATAGAGGAAAGGGGAGAGAAAGAGAGAGAGCGCGCGCTCAAGCACACATAGATTTGTTGTTCCACTTATTGATGCATTCACTGGTTGGTTCTTGCATGTGCCCTGACCAGGGATCAAACCCACAAACTTGGAGTATCGGGATGATTCTCTAACTGAGCTGTTGCCAGAGCAGATATTACCTCTACATTTTATAATTTGCCACCGATGGTGGGTAACTGTTTTCCCTCTGGGCCTCAGGGTTCGCATCAGGAGCTGGCATCCCCTTGGCAACCATCTTGGCCTTTGGCTGAGGCGACTGGCTGGCTGGGTTGCTTGTTGGTGACTGGGCAGCGGTGGCAGCTCATCAGAGCGCACTCTAGGCGAGTGTAAGATTTATACTTTGCGTGGAACAAAAGTTCCCCTTTGGTCTAAGGAACCATCTAACTATGTCTAGTGCAACAGGCTCTGCAGATAAAATGCCCCCAGACTCGTGGTCTCCTCCCACTCAGGGATGGCGGAAAACACGTGCCCTTTGAAGCTGTGTGGCCTATGGAGGCCCATCCACTTGAGCAGGTGAAGGAAGTGTTAGGGGCCAGACTGGGCCTGTGACCCTGTCTCTCCAGGCCACTTCCCCGGCGGGGCAGGATGTCCATGTCAGCTCATGTCAGCTCGCTAACCAGCTGTGGGACTTGGGGACCCAAGGCCTGTGGCTTCGGCCACCTGCTCCCACCCATGGCACACTGGTTTGGGAACAGGCCCCAGGGCTTCAGAATTCTCACATGGTCTTTGACTTCTGTTCCTTGCCTGCTTTTCAAGTGGGAAGGTCCTGGGCTGGGGAAGGGGCGCTGACCCCTGGGGCCTTCTAGTGACTGTCTCCATCACTAGCGGTGGAGGCTCCCTCCTGCCCCAGGTCAACAGTGGCCAGAGTCCTGGCTGGCTCCTCTGCCCCGGTGGGGGGACGCTGCCCCTCTGGGAGATGTGTCCTGGGTCGCCCAGCGCTCCGTCCCCTCTAGACCTCCCTGAACTTCCCTTAGGCCTGGGAGCTCCGTCCTGGGACGGCAGCAGGGGGGTGCTGCCCGCCTGCTCC